GTTGTTATCGAAATGTTTGATCCCAAGTAAGTTCCGGTTTTTCATCGTCTTTCCCACCTTTTCCTCCAATCTTTTGCTTTCCCGACTCTTTGGAAACACCACGATTTTTTCCCAATTTTAACGCTATCTTGCTGACCCCGATAATTAACGACCCATTTTCGTCACATCTGCTCTTTCAAAATTATTTAAAACCATCATACTCGACAAGCTGTGTGCGTTCCTCAAACGTAGTATCACTCCACCGGTGAATTGCTGTATCACAATTGGGTTGGATGCGCTTGCTGACTACGGAGAAACAAACTGGTCTACCTTAGTACCTCAAAAGCCTTCCATCGGGTTTGGAAAGAACGTTTACTGGCGAAACCGTCCATGTTCGGATTCCCTGTGGCTCTCGTATCGTGAATATCTACTTTAATCAGCAAACCGTCCCCGTTTGAGTTGACGGGGTTCTGTATCAGCCGTTCTCTGAGAGTGGTGGCGTTATCCGACGTCCCGTACTTTAGTCCACCTTTTTTGTTCTATTTACCAACAATCTCCTTTCCAAAACCGTTAACCCAGTACATTTTTTTACCGACGACACAACCCTGTACTTTTTACTCACCCATTCCGTACACAAGCATCTGATCATTCTTATCAGACTTCAGATACCAGATGTCATATTTCTCGACCGCACTCTTCTTGTTTTCCCGAACCGACAGGATCTAGAACCCCCTAACACTCTCAAGAAACAACGCTACACTGCTCAAACACAGAATCGATGAACTAGATCTTACGTGAATATTCCAAGTCGCCAATTCAGGGTATGTAGTTGGACTATGTAATTTCCTATTTTACTGCAATTCACATCATGTTTAACGAAAGAGGAACCTTTAGTCGAGTCGTCAAAAAATTGTAAGAGATCAGAAGAAATGGAGATGACACGAGAGAAAAAAGCCGTCGGCTGAGAAGAGACGTCGGGGCGCTAGCAAAAAATGGCATCAAATAATTACACAGAAGCTATTTTTTCAGTACCATAATGCCACAGTTCATAACTTCAGTCTAACAAAAAGTCCGTAATCGCGCAGGACTCCAGTTTTCGTAAGACACTTGCCTGCCGGACAACAAATGCACAAAACTGTCACAGCAATAGTGCTAACATTACTGGGTAGCAAGAACAGTGAGTATCATGAAGGGGTTTTTGCACAGAATGACCGAAATACCGAGATCCAAACATCAAGTCAGCTGCGTTGAGTTCACATGACATTACATAACGTTGTCCATGCGAACCCTACAACCACATTGAAGCAGTTAAAGGAAAGAATGGAGGACTTCCCGGGCACATCAATTAAAAAAACTTCGATTCATCAATTCCTGAATGGATATCACTAGTTGGTTAAGAAGTTGACCACGCAGCCTGTAGAATGGAACTCGAAAAATGTCAAGGTAAAACGAGCTGAAAATACCGACTGGTTACAACGATCGGGTAGCGCAGCACAGATGTCGTATATTGGCGAAAACAACTACTACAATATGGTGCTGCCACAGATATGGACGCTTCAATGTGGGCTGTTAAAGCCGTTCGAAGTCTCCTAACCAGCAAAGGACTCAATTCGACCATAATAGCATGTCTATCTGTCGCCGGTATCCTGA